AGGCGGCATGGAAGAGAAGTTTGAGAAACACTAGTTTAGATTATGACACTGTCTCAGATAATTTGCAGGAAGAAAGGAAATGGTACTACTTTTGTATATAAACTCTCAGGTTTATTAGTTAATGTTGGGGTGCACCCACCTTCTCATCAGAATGGACTGATCTCTCTACTACTAATAGGACAGTTCTATAGAGTTCGGGAAGATCACGTGACCATCACACTTCCGTCTCTCTACCGGAAGAGACAGTTGGACTTTATACTCTTTCTGATTGTTACTGACTAACCTGCGTTAGTTTGACTACTAATCTCTCTGTTGTAAATACCTCTTCAGATATACCAGTATTTTTCCCTACGTATGTGTTTGTCCTTATTTCAATACACGCACGCGGAAACACTCAACAGTTAACATGAATGTAGTATGCATAACTTTGACTAATTATTATTAGTTAAAGTGAATACAGTGTGCATCACTGTAACTAATACCAATTGTTCCTACTATTCACCTATATCTATTTCAAGTAATGTTCTGATATATCTGATCCATTGTGGTTTCATTTTTAAACATTTGACCTGAAGCAAGGTGATAATGCCATTAAGACATACAAGGGGTTACTGGGAGTGAAAGAGAATGGGAAGACTTTAGTGAGGAGAAAGGACAACAAAAGAATAAATTTCAGAAAGAGAAAAGATGACAATTGATATTGTATTTAAATGTTTAAAGATTATAGGTAGAAGGGAAGCTAAAAGCCAGAAGAGAGTTCCACAGGTGAGAAGTGTGAAAAAGGAAACTATTAGGACTGAACATGTGGATACACCTAGATGAGAGGTATTGGTCAATCTAGTAGCATACCTAAATTCATGTGGTCAAGGTACCAAGCTCATTAGAATAATTACCATGAAAAAAGTTATACAAAGGACACTAGGAAGCCAGATCATGGCAGTTGGAAGCTAAGGACTGAAAATATAGACTCTTTTTTGAATCTTGAGAGCGTGGTGTACTTTTCCATATCCTGTATCAGATTGGAAACTTTCATGGTAATCTGAAATACAAATGAGATATATAATCAACTAAAGATGTGATTTCATGTACCTTGGGGTATCAAGGGGATGCAGAAAAGTTATTGGCCTCACCAAAAAAGATGTGGGGTGATTTGGTTTGACTTTTTGAATCAAGTTAGGGTAATAACTTTTCAAAAACCCCTTGTGTGCACGTGAGTGTGTATGCATATAAGAACTATTATGTGTGTGTGTGTGTGTGTGTGTGTGTGTGTGTGTATATATATATATATAATAAGGAGGCACGGTGGAGTAGTGGATATCGGCTTGGATTGAGAAATCGCAGAGCCGAGTTCAAATCCAGGTTGAATCCATTACATTCACTTACATGCTAATACCCTTGGGAAAGGTATGAATCCTTCTACTCCCTCCAGCTATGGGTAAAATAGCAGGACAGACTGGGTTCTATAGCCTTGGATGGCAACTGGTCTAGGAGAAGGACAACTCTGAATTCAAAACCTGAGCGGGGGTTGTTTGGGAACCTTGTGGCACGTAGTGCACCAGGTTTCTGTATTCGCCCTTCAAAAAAGTGTGGATGGTCCTGCACCTAAACCTTCACCACTATAATCGAATCTCATGTGCCGGTGTTGGGCTGTCAGTTTCCTGGAAACTGATCTGTTTGACCCTCATACGTCGAACCCGACAGGAGAATCGATTTTTAAAAAATTTTTTTTTTTTTAATATATATTAGTTCTTTTATAGATATAATTTTAGCTATATCTGAAATTATATATATAAGTTCGAAGACTTCAGTTTAAGTTTTGTTGATGCAAGTGATACAAGATAATCAGTTGAATTTATTAACAGATATAACTATTATAAAGTATGTTATATTTAATATATATATATATATATATATATATATATATACACACACACACATATATATATATATATACACACACACACACACACACATATATATATATATCCAATGCGATGAGAACAAAAGTAATATATAAATTCCAACATTCACAGCATTAATCCAAAAGAGGGCTCAATACCGAAAGTAGAGCAATAATTATTTATTTATTATAATTTTATCATATAGACAAAACCATTTTACTCACATTTTTTCACATACGGCTTGCCTACAAGCAGGATTGTTCATAATCATGTTTGATTCTCACCCATCGAAGTGCAGTTGAAATGCAATGAAACCAAGTTGCATCTTTGTAGTGAGTAAAATGGTTTTGTCTATATGATAAAATATAGTAATATATATATTATAAAATTATAATATATATATATATATATATATATATATATATATAGTTTTGTTCAAACTGTTGATTACAGCAAATGTTGCAGACTCTTTCAGAAATCGTAATTAATGTCTACACTGCCTAGTTGCAATATAAACTACAGGTGGACTTTATAGATGCTGCAGATTAACTAGCTATCCTAACAGATGGCTGAACTATATATATTTTATATACACATCTATACATATAGATATATGTATATCTTTTATACATATTCATATATCCATATTTTTGACACTGTCTTATTGTAGACCCATTTATGCATGTTTGGCCTTTTTTTTTATATGTTTTTATATGTTTCTTATATTGATTCTCTTTATATATTTTGTATATTTTACATTCAGTACTATTTTTAGAGCATCAATATTTGTTTTATTTTATTACAATATATATATATATATATATATATATATATATATATTTTATTTATTTACAAATTCTTTTCAGTTATGTTGTATATTGTATTTAAAACCTCTATCTTATTACCATTTTGTTTTGCACGATTTTGTTTAATTATCCTTATTCTAAATTTTAATTTTCATATTTACATTTATCTTTTTATCATTTAACTTATAAAAATTTAGATTTTTTAGATATTTATTTCTGGTTATTTGCTACTGGCATGGTTTTTAAAAAAATATTTTACAAGTACATGATTGTAGTGTGTTAGCAAATGTTAGTCTTAAAATTGTTTTGTAACAAGTTATACAACTACAAGTGGTTATCTTCCATGCATGTACGTGTGTGTACATTTTCAAATTGTCTCAGTGTTACCCCTCAAAACAAACCTGATGAAAATCAGAAATTGTTAATTACCTATCATCTTTTATGATGAGCAGTATTTTGAAAAAGAAGTAAAATATCATTAGGTAATGTAATCTCACTTTCTCATTGTGCTTTTATTTTCCTTTCTTTTTCTTTTCCCCCTCTTTCTCTCAGGTATAAAATATACAAGTTATATAGTTACTATGCACACAACATCTCAAAATCAACATTCATTGTAATTTGCCACTGAACTTAAGCAATATCAAGCCTGGTCAATACGTAGACGGGGACCTACATGGAAATACCAGGTGATGTAAGCTTGGGTGTGCAGGTGGTATAATGGTTTGGAATTGGAAATCAGAGAGCTGAGTTCCAATTCCAATCATGTTTGGTATTCACTTACTCTTGGAGAAGTTATGAATCCACTTCTCCCCCAGCTATGGGTTAATTAGTAGAAATTGTATGCATAGATCATTATTAATTCCAAAAATATTCTTACAATCTAAAAATATTTTCTGGCTTTAAATAATATGTAAAAGGTTGATGAACCATAAAAACCAAATCAATCATTGAAATTTATGTATCCTCTTCGGGACATGGGTGATCATGGCTCTCCATAATTTCCTATCATTCCCAGCATTTAGCAGTGTTTGTCTTTTTACTTCTATGCACTATTCTACCTTTCATTTACACAAGATAATTAGGTAGGCTATTATTCACTGTTTTCTTTTACCCCTCTTACTTGTCCTGGGAGTGTCAAATTCTCCAAGCCTTTTTTAAGTTAAGAATAAAGAAAACTAGTAAAAAAATATTTCTTTTAAGGAGTGAAGTGATTTTCAACTGACTGTAATAATTTCTAAGGAATTAATGAATTTTATTTATAATCCAACATTATTGTTTATTAGGTAGTGCTTTTTCAATCACGTATATCCACTAACTAATCTAATAAATATAATTATAATGTTTATGGAAATAAGAGAATGAGAGTAAAATTATAATGTTTGTCAATATAATGTTTATCATATATCACAATTATAATGTTTATGGAAATAAGAGAATGAGAGTAAAATTATAATGTTTGTCAATATAATGTTTATCATATATCACAATTATAATGTTTATGGAAATAAGAGAATGGGAATAAAATGCATGTAACAAATATTGAAAGATATATACATTCATTAATATTGCAGGCTTAGTTACTGTTAAAGTTATATCTACAGCATTTTGCCTTCAATATTTGTTACTTCCCTTTGGCAGGGAGGAGGAAACTTCAAAAACGGATGTTATTTACTATTTAATCAACAATCTAATCACTCCTATGTGTAGCATAAATTAAATACTTTTTGCTAACAGAGGTCAATATCTATTGATCTATGGAAATTATGAATTTAAAAAAAAAATCGTGTTTCTTTAGATACTTATTTAAAATAGAAATGAAAATAAAAGCTAATTTTTCCTTACATTTGAAATATTTTTAAGTAGATCTTTTAAAATAATGAAAGAGAATAAAATAAAATAAAACCTGTGAGGGAGACGATTGAAAGAGATAGATAAAAAGCATTTGAACCAGAGTTGAGGAAAAAAGGGGGAAGAATAGAGGACAATTGTTAGCTCCCTCACCCCCCATTAAAAAAAGAAAAGAAAAAGTACAGAAGAAAAGGAAAATGCATATCATTTGGAAATACTGCTGTTGCCTGTAGAACGTTATACTGCCACGATTAAATTAAGGACAGTATGAGGAGAAGAAGTGAAAGAGAGAAACAAGAAAACAGAGACTATTAAAAATAAAATGAAATCAGGGTGGGCAATATATATAATGGCTTAATAAAAAAAAATTTTTTTAAAAATGCGTTGAAAGCATGAAGAGAATCACTCCTCCTTTCCTTTCTCTCCCTCCACCGTAAACTTGACAATGAATCGGGTGCACCTGGTTACCATTTACACCCACCCCCCATTGCTGCCTTTCGGTTGGTTCTTTGGTCCACACCCACCCACTCTCTCAATTTCTGCAGCTGTTCCCCCTCACCCTATTCCACCTCCAAGAAGAACAAACATATCTGTTTGTCTCTTTAACCCATTGTTTTCAAGGCTTCTCTCTTTTCCCTTCTTTATATTACAAACAGAGACTTGCTGCCACCTCCTCTTGCTTCATTTTTCTCTTTGCTTCCATACCCGCCTTCCCCACCCACCTTCCCCACCCACCTTCTGTCAAACCACTAGTTTCTTCTGTCTTGCCACAACACAAGGGTTTAAGGGTAGTCACCAAGATGCAGGAAGACAGATAAGCATTGATACATACGTGTTGTGGGCTTTAAAACTTTGTTTATTAAGTATGTGTGTGTACACTCCCACAAAAGGTGATAATTGTTTGAATTAAGTCATTTTCATAAATACTTAACATCTAAACTAAGTTTTATTTTAGTATAACCAGAGGAAGTATATGAAGTTATTTTAGTATAACCAGAGGAAAGTCAAAATAATGCAGTTGGAATTAACATTAATATTTGGTGAGTTCACACAAAAAAAAATAAAGAAAGTGGTCTGGTCGGTTGGGGTTGGGGTGAGGGGAGGATAGTAAAAAGAGGAGAGAAAGAGATAGTTCTGGTCCAAACAAAAAGGCACATCCGCTTCTAATATTTGTTTACCTACTTATGTTTAATGTCCAAACACCCAGTTTGGATCAAATTCACTAGAAATAGTTTGTATGATAAGAAAGTTAAGCTTCAATTATTGACAGATACTGTCAAATATACAGAGCATTAAAAAATTTACTTTACCATATTCACTTATATTTCAATGAAATAAAGTTTGTTTTTTTTTGTTTTTTTTTTATCATTTTCACCCCAACTGTTGTGGAGTATTTTCACAGTGGAGGCTTGTATTTCTAATAAGTCGTCCGAAATTAGATCCGACGTACAAAACGTTAGGAACTTGGAAAATAAGAGTCAATGACGCAGCAATCTGGTTGTGATGGTTGGTACTTCAAATGTCCGAATCTCAACTGACGCGCTCAATATCATTCTGCCAGACTTGCCACTGATACTCCTACTTATTATCTATGGGAGAGTCCATTACAATAGAATAGGTACTATGGCATAACACAAACTAAGGCAGTAAACCACTAGGATAAGAGGGATTACCAGGCGTGGAAGATTTAGAAAACAGAAACTTTACTAAGGAACAAGAACAAAAGAAGAGTAATCAGGAAGACAGTAGATGACAATTGACATTGCATTTAAGTTATTGAAGATTAAATTGGAAAGTATGGAAAGTTTCACAAGCGAGAAATGCAAGAAAAGAAACTGTTAGTATAGAAATTACGGTTAAATCTAGCCACTTTAACTGTAAACTGATGAGACCTAGCTAGCAATCTAGTACTGCACTTCATAAAGCCTAGGTACCATAGCGAAGAGTTCATCCGAACAGTTGCAATGGAAGCAATTATAGAAAAGGTACAGGGAGGCAACTTTACGGTGGCGAGAAAGTGATTGAAACTGAAATAACAGATCAGGACCAATAATATTGCAGATTCTTCTTTGGATTTTATCAAGGATTGCTAGATAAATAGCAGTAGCAATATTTTAAGTATGGATGAATGGTAGACTTATAAATGCTTAAGATAGATTCAGGAGAAAAAAATTTATCTAGCACGACACAATGAACTGACTTTCTTAGCAGCTGAATTATTAAGTAAATTAATCATCCAAATAAATTTTAAAAACTATTTCCTTGTTTCTCCACCCCCCCCACCTGCCAAAAAAAAGCTGATAATGTTTATACACTGTAGTAAATTAAAGTCCCGTTCTCCATTTAACAATTCATTTACATTACACCCCCTTCACATCCAAGCTTACAGTGCCTGGTATTCCCAAGCAGTCACCCATCTAAGTATTGACCAGGCTTGACATTGCTTAACTTTGGTGATCATACAGGAACTGTTATTTCAATGTGATATAGCCATAAGCCAAAAAAAAAAAAAAAAAAAAAAAAAGGTTACCTTTGACAAAAATGACTAAAAATACTTCCTTTAGCAAGATTAGTTTTTTAACATCTTACATTTTATTTTGGAGCATATATTTTTGTTTTGTAAGTAAAGAGTATATCATATATATTATATCATATCATAGGGTAGATACTATGGGTACTTTTGTCCTGTACAGTAAATGCTACAAATCAAAATATTAACCTGAAAACTCAAATAGCCTCATCAGGTTGAGTCTGTCATGTGGATGTCATGCATAGCATCCAACTTGTTCAGACATGTCTAAACTATCATCTATATACAACTATTTTCTTATATCAATGATTAAAGTAAATGAATCCTTTAGGTCTTAAAGAAGACAATCTTTTATAGAACCCTATAGGCTTATATGACCAAATCACAAATGAAAACGTTTACTAAATAACAAAAAACTACATAACTTCAAGACTTCCAACAGCAGCAACAATAAAAAATGGGTAGTACATATTAGAAGGGAAAGTAATTGTATAATCAAGATGTTAGCTTTCTACACTACAAAAAACAAAGATTTGGAAACTTCTATCAATATAAGAAAGAGCTATAACATTTAGTAAGCTTGAGAATTCCTTAAAAATTGTTTTGATAAAAAGATTTTATGTATCTCAATTGACAGTAACATTGACTGTTCAATCAATAAATGCTGAATGTTTCCTCTATAGAAACAACTAATTTTAGATTACCAAAGAATCCAGAAAGTATTTTATTTGTCACTTATGACTTATTTTCCCACTCCTGGATTTAAAGAGGGAACTCCCGCACTAAAATATTAGCAAAATAATTGTGAAAAAAGAAATAAAAAATGCAGGCTTTATGTACTTTTATAGTGAATTTCACAATTAAAAGAATTGCTTGATTTTACTTACAAGGCATTTCATGGCTCTAAAAATAAAAAATACAGTAAATTTATTTTACTCACTTCATATAGTAAATATTAAAAAAAAATCTAAATACACAGATAAAACATAATTTGTTAAATTTCATCTTTAGTTATCCTATCAGAACAAAAGAGCACAGTCTACTTAATTATTTTACCTAATAACTAAGAAGGTGAACTCATGTTTTTTCTAATGACACTAATGCAAAGAGAATGCAATAAATTCAATCAGAATTCGAACACTGTTCACCAATTCCATTTTCTTTACTATTCACCATCACACTATACATATATCCCAAATTAGTACAGATAAGCAAAAGATAATATTGTCTGGTTCACACTTCTTCCTGGTCTTTTGAACAGGAGTAGAGGTTTATCCCAGGTTTCCTGTTTAGGATTGGGTTTCCAGTTCTAAACAGGAAACAAACTTTTAAAGTTTACTTCTACATTATTACTTTTAACATCTCCAACTGAACCCTGAAATGTTATTCACTAATTAAATCTTGACCTCTTCAACTTGTTTGTTGTTGTTTTTCCTGTGTAACCACAGGAATTTCACTTCTTCCATTTTATTATGCTAATACAACAGCATACAGTAACCCTCTATCTTGAGTGGCTCTTGGGTCTTGTATTGAGTGAACATTAGTAAATAAAAAAAGAAAGAAAATATTCTTACAATCTAAAAATATTTTCTGGCTTTAAATAAACCACAAAGGTTGATAAGCCATAAAAAAAAAAAACAAATCAGTCATCACTGTAAACTGAAAAGTCAAAAAATTAGATAGCTACCTAATTTAGCTTCTGATTTACCCTTAATATTTGTGACTATGTGTTACTGTATTAAGTCAACAAGATCATGGACTTGCTCTGTGAGTATATCTAATCAGGCATGTTCCAGGACTATCAGTAACTAAGTTGTATTCATTTGGTGTAGTTCAGGGATGTAACCGAAGTCATCAGTATATCTCATATATGCTTAATGGAGATTAAACATGGTGAGCTTGAATGCCAATAAAAGACTTGGAATCAGTTTCATGTCACCTGGTCACCAATGTCATTGTGATGGAATAAACTATCACCACCAGGAAACAAGGTGAGAATAAAGAAAGTGCAAATGATCTGTAACAAGAACAGTGTATGTCACACCTGTCAAGGTAGACTAGTTTCACTAGTGGTCTATGTGAACCTCAATAGATTAAACCTACACCATTACAAAATCATCTCCAGTTTGTACAACACCCTGATCACAGGCTGTATCCATATTTTCATTTTGGTTCTCTCCATAAACAAACTTTAGAACCTACCTGAAAGAAACTAGAAATGTGACATGTTTGACCAGGTGACACAACACCAGTTTCCACAGGCCAATTATGATGCTCTCTGGTCAAGGTGCAGCCCAACAGTTGAAATGATGTCAATAATGGTACTTTTTTAGTCAACAACAATAAAACCTGTAGAATAGAGTGTATATTTTACAGTTCATTGGCTGATAGTTTGAGTGGTGCCAGCATTGAACTGGGGTGTAATTTGATGCAATGTTCCTCTTCCTTGAGCACCTCCAGTAGTCTTCTTCTTGTATAATATGTAAGTCCTTGAAGTGTTCATATGTTGCTTATGTCTGTCTGGAATTAACGTAAACTTGAGATCATCTTTTTTGTTGTTGCTTGAGAAAAATCTAGAGTAATTATTATATAGTGTTCTGTCTGGTGCCAACAATCATTCTATGGTTAAATTATGTTAAATTCTATCCCTGTCATATGGTTGCCACAGCTACACTACCTCTTTACCTATTTACATTGTTCAGGCTATCGTCCTCATCTTTGTTGTTATATTTATCACAACATTTCGGCCATTGTACGCTCCAGCCTTCTTCAGGTGGCTGGAATGTCGAACTGAACCCTTTATTTCACTCACTGGGGTAGACTGTTCTAGCTCCATGTGCTATATCTAATGGATGTCAGTTATCAGTTATCTCCTGTTAATTCCCCTCTCCAAGTTCTCCACCATCTTAACCACGCTTTTTGGGTCCTGTCACTGGATCTAACTAATGACTTTATCCACTGTGCCATGTGTCCTTAATAGTCCAAACAATGTAAATAGTGTACATAATATCTCATCTCAGAAATATAGACAGATACCTCTTTACCTATATTACATGTCATATATCTGAATTCATTTCTACAAGTGGCAGAAGGTAAACATTCTGTCTTTAATTTTGGAGCATTTCATTTTTAAAAAAATATAATTATCAAAATGCAAAATAACTGTCATGATAACTCGTGTAGGAAAATTTATTAGACTATTTCTTCTAGATTGCCCAGCATGATAGTACATTGTTAAATAATATCTATTCTCATCAGGATGTCAGACAAATATGCTTAATGTTTCTTGGGTGTTTCCTTCAATTTTATCCTGTTGCACAAGTGGTATCTAAGTAGTTTTTGATAAGTACATATAAGAATAGTGGCACCAGATATCACAAAATCTATAGATTGGTTCATTTTTTACAGTTCATCAACCTTTTGTTGATTATTTAAAACCACAACATATTTTGGGATTGTAAGAATATTTTTTTTTTTCCCGTTTTTGTTGCAAGTGGAATATTGTATTAACAATATTGTGAAGATAAAAAAAAATATTTTCGGATACAAGTCTTACTAATTAACTAATAACTGATGAGAAGTGGATTCATGCCTTTCCTAAGGGTATTTGTGCATAAGTGAATATAATGAACCCAACTGGAATTTGAACTTGACACTTTCATTTCTCAGCCATTATTCATTACATCACTAACACATCCAAGTTTAAAGTACCTTGCATTCCCAAAATGGTTACCATTCCGGCTTGCTTAACTTTGATGGTGAATGAGAACCAGTTTCAGTATGGCTGTAAGCCACAGAATCTATAGAAAAGTTATGTAAAAAAATTTTTCATTATGTTACTGGATTTTTTCCAAGTCTTTTAATTTTAATTATATAAATGAAACATATTTTAATTATAAGAACTTTATGTTATTAATTACTTAATAGTAACTTGAATTAGTTATTAGTTAATTGATTACACTTTTATCAGAAACTAAAATATTTAATGTTATTGGTTAAGGAGATTTGCAATTAAAAAAAAAATTTTCCTCTAAATTCCTGAGATGAGGAGTTATCATTATTTACATGCAGACTTTTGTCCTCATCTTTGCTGTTGTCCTCATCTGATCATCTTTAGTCTGAATTTCTGGGATGTTGTCCTCATCTTTGCTGTTGTTATCACACCATTTCGGGTGTTGTGTCTGCCAACCTTCAAGTGGGTAACCTACTGGAAATTTTGAATTGAACCCTTTATTTAATCTATGGGGGTAGGTTGTTCTAATTCCACTGCCCATGTTTAGGGATATCTTTTCTGCTTCTCATTTAGTATTACTTAGCAAGCATGTGGAAACAGTCTGTTTTCTAATTAATGTAAATAAAACAAAAAAAAGTTTTGGAATGAATCTCAAATATTTATGCTGATTTGATTGTTTCATAATCTATTATTGCAATGTATCTTAATCAATGTCTGAATTATTAGAATATATCCCTGGGGTGTGGTTTATCTTCTAAATTGTTACCATGTTGTTGATATGTTTGAAGATCAAGTGAAAATAAATCTATTTCAAGATGTATTAGTTTATATATACTGTTAATGAAATGGTGTGGGTATTTTAGCTTATCACCCAAACTTTTTTTGAGTGAGTGAAGTTGTGCTATAATTGTTCTTATAGATTCATTTCAGTAAGTAATTACCAAGAAGCTAACTTTCATATTTTGTTTTCTCACTTTTAATATATATATACTCACATATGTTGTAATAAATACTATGAAATAATTCATGCTACTTTGCAATGTGCTTCAGGCAGACAAAGTAACTAATGGATGATATATATAACAAAAATTTAATTGTCTCCTTGAATTTTAAAACAACATACTGTTTTTGATAATGACCAATGATTGACAAAAGTACCTGAACTTATGAACAATTCTTAACATGTATAGGCTAAATATATATTACCTTGTGTGGAAGAAAGAAAGAAATCA